TTATTCTTTAAATAGGACATATTCCTGCCTTTTTCTCTTCAAATCTAGTTTAAATTTCTTTCTTTTCATCAAGATTTTTTGCACTAAAATGGCTTCTTCCATTTTCTCTCTTTCTTTTGTACTCATTTTCTCTTTGTACATCAGCTTAGCTTCTGCTGCAACTGCTCCAATTGTTCCATATCTTGATGGTAAGTTCTACTTCTTTTAGCTGCTATAAAGATAAGTAGTGCTTAAGTTTTTATGGATCTGGGAACCACTCAACAAAAAATTACATTGTATATAGAAGTAATTTTTCAAATTTTTTTTAATGGTTATATATATGTTTGGAATCCTCCGAACATAGGATTAGAGGTTGACTCAGTAGGTTAGGGAGTTACAAAATTTACTTTGAGGTTTCGAGTTCAAATCCAGGATGCTACATTTTTATTTTTCAAACTATGTTAGTGAAAATCCTGGATCCGCTACTGATGTAGACTATACTTTGAACTTTGGAGTAGCAAATCAACCAAGTTGAGGTTGTAGCCAACTTTTGGACTTTAGCTTGATAAGATAATTTGAGCATTTTTGTATTTGTATGCATTGATTTGATTGGCAATACTCAGATTTGTTTGAATGTTATCTCAAATGTACTATAAACTGTGGTGTGATAATGACAGGTCTACTGGAAAATGGCGATTTCGAAGAAGGGCCAAAGCCATCAGAACTAAAGAAAACAGTGATCATTGGCAAATACTCCTTGCCTGAATGGGAAATCAGTGGTGTAGTGGAGTGGGTATCAGGTGGGCCCCAGGAAGGGGGGTTCTACTTCCCGATACCTCGTGGGGCCCACGCGATCCGACTTGGGAATGAGGCTTCCATCTCTCAGTATGTAGAGGTGAAGCCAAACACTGCATACTCACTCACATTTGGAGCCACTAGGACTTGTGCTCAAGATGAGGTCCTTACCCTCTCGGCTGGAGACACGTCTAGTGATCTTCCTATTCAGACATTGTACAGTGCTGATGGTGGTGACACTTATGCTTGGGCTTTCAAAACAACATCTAATTATGTTGAGGTCAAATTTCACAATCCTGGTATGCAAGAAGATCCAGCTTGTGGACCAATTCTAGACCATATTGCAATCAAGGAATTGCCTATGGCTACATATACTAAAGGTAAGCCTACAATACATTGATAATTTGTACCATATGGCCTTTTCTGAGAGTGGTCTCCTTAGTGATGGTTCAAGCATGTAAAGAGGAGGATGTGTGGATGCCCTGGTAAAGAGGTACGAGAGGTTGGTCGTAGAGGGGTAGAGGTAGGCCTAAGAATTATTGAGGTGAGGTGGTTAGGTAGGACAATATGGAGCAGCTTCAGCTCACCGAGGATATGAGTGTGGAGGTCGAGAATTAGGATAGAAGGTTAGTAGGTAGTTGAGTGTTTTGCTTTC